ATTAGTGTTTAACCCTTTATTTATTATATATATATATATATATATATATATATATATATATATATATATATATATATGTTTCATTAAAAACGACAGACAAGGTACTACGGTTGAGCTTTTTATATAATTTTTCTTTTGTTCTGACAAGAGCTTTCTTTTCTGGACAAAGCTAATAACAGCTCACAACGCGGAAGTCGGTTCCCTGAAAATTCAAAAAATAGTTGGAGATTACCAACCGGGATACCTATATGGAAACATAAAAACACATAAACCAGGATACCCACTACGACCAATTACTTCCCAGATACCAACACCCATCTACGAGCTATCAAATTCCTAAACGACATCATCACTCCATACCTACCTACCAATTACAGCATCACCTCCACCCACGAATTCCTACAAATTTTAAAAACTACAAAAGGAACAAATCAAGGTATAATAGCGTCACTGGACGTTGAAAACCTCACTTCCCTGTCGACCAAACTATCGATATTATCCTCAACTCCGCTTACAATAATAATTCCATCCCTCCGCCATCCATCAAACCACCCATCCTAAAAAAATTACTACACGCATGCACAACCAAAGTCCCCTTCTATGACCATAATGGCAATATTTATACCCAAACTAATGGTGTTAGTATGGGAAATCCACTGGGTCCATGCTTCTCCAACTATTATATGTCCTACGTAGAAAATACTATATTTACACAGGTCCACAAACCGAAAATCTATGTTCGCTACGTAGACGATATCTTCATTTTAGCTGATAACATTAAAGAAATAGAGACACTTAAGACCACATTTGAGAAAAACTCCGTCCTTAATTTCACATATGAACTTAGCCAAAAAAACAAACTACCATTCTTAGATATCCTCGTTGAACACAACAATAACACTTTCATTACATCATTATACAAAAAACCCACTAGCAAAATTTATTACAAAAACCAAATGCATATTAATTACAAACAAGATGAATCTTCTCTAAGACATATTATAAAGAAATATACTACTCCTATTGATCCGAATAAAAAAATCAAACTTATTATCTATTATAAAAAATTTAAGACGGCCAACCTTATCCTCAAAAATAACAACACACCAACTAAGTCAAAATTACAAAGAACAAACATTATCTATGAGTTCAAATGCCCTTTAAGGAACTGCGTTCCTCACCAAACCAGACTCATAAATAATTACATCGGCTACACAACCACATGTTTATCCAGACGTCTTACATTACACCTATCTGATCACAGTTCCATCAGAACACATTTAAACACACACTCAGATTTACCCGACACTATTAGGAACATACTAGTAGAAAACACAAATATATTAACTGCATCCACTTGCAAAAAAAGACTAAAAATAATGGAAGCTCTAATAATAAAAAAGAAAAAGCCAACTCTTAACAATATTAACTATGAACAAAGCCACAATGTGCTAACCGTATTCGGAAACTAAAAACATCACTACAACACACTGAACATACACAGAACACACACACTCTACTAAGCTGATATTGAATCATCCTTGATAATGGCTAAAGATATAGCCGAAAGCGCTCGGAAATACAGAACATTCGGACAGTTCTTACACACTCTTTGTCCAGAAAAGAAAGCTCTTGTCAGAACACAAGAAAAATTAAATAAAAAGCTCAACCGTAGTACCTTGTCTGTCGTTTTTAATGAAACATGCATAAAGGAAGGATTGCTGCCTAAATATACAAATATATATATATATATATATATATATATATATATATATATATTAACAATATAATTTCAACTAATGAAAAATGCAAAATATAACACTAGTACATAACCTAATCAAGATCGCAGCCAAATTACGTTCAGGCTTGAGAGCCATTCCTCCTGTTTACAGCGGAATGGATGGAAAGATCTTACATACATTGTTACCAATACTTTCAACTGTGTTCTATCAGGAATTTTTTGAGTCAGGTACATTTAGACTTTCATTTGAAAGTATTTCAGAAAATATATATTAAGTCTTTACAGCCACCCTTTAGTAAAATGTAGGTGTAGCTTGTTATATTTACAATATATTTTAGTTTCTTTTTTCATTAGTTGAAATTATATTATTCTCATTCTGCTGTCCATGTCTACAGACATCTCATCATGTTCTTTTTAGTTTTGCACAATTATTGCTCGCAATCTTACCACAATTTAAATCTATACTACCCAGTTCAGGTATGGAATTCACAATTACTATGTCAAAAAATTTACAAACCAAACATTAAACCATTAGACTAGGAACCAGACAATGTAACTCCAGATATGGACAGCAGAACTGTAACAATCTAGCTAACAATCGAGATGCACCTGAAGAAAGCTGGTGATTACAACTGAGACATTATGATAATAACAACAAAGATGAAGACATTAATTTGAATGATAATTCCTCATCCCAGCAATTCAAATGGAAATTACATTTCTATAGTAATTCATTTCCATTGTATTTTTATAACTTGCAGCATATTCCAGTAATTAATTTTTGTTATCTGTTTTTTATAAATTTTGCCAATGCAAATCTATAGAAAACCTTTCATATGACAGCTTTGAATATACGCTCCTTTAGCGCTAGAGGGCGTCGTCAGTGATGTTCTAGAAAAGGATCATTGGACAGTTTCGGGTCTTTCAAACATCATACTGACCTCACCAAATCGACCCTTTCAGAGCTGATCAGACTCTGAAACGCCCTCTAAGAAAAATGCTTGTTTGTGCTGACTTTTATAAGAATACCCCGTAATCTCACATTTGATTGGAGATTGACCAACAACCAATCACAACGGTGCGAGATCTATTTAAGCCGTTTACGGGTAATTTTTTACTTTCCTTACATATCTATAGTGAATCATTTGCACTGTATTTGATAATAACTCACAGTATAATTCTTTGGTGAATGTTTGTCATCTGTTTGTATAGATTTTTGAAAATCTATCGTAAACTTACCATATTATATTTTTACAGTAAATCATTTACTATGTATAGTTATGGTAATTTGCAATGTAATCTGTTGTAACTTTTTTTCATCTGTCTATAATCTTTTGCAATACAAATCTATAGTAAACTTTCCATATTACAATTCTATAGTAAATTATTTTCATTACATATCTATAGTATACTTTCCATATTACATTTATATAGTAAATTGTTTGCACTACATTAATAAAGAGTGAAAGATACTTTACAAAAACTAAGCAAAGTATTAAAAACAGAAACATTTAATTAAGAAAAAAAAAGAGTGCTGAAATGCTATGTAATATCTAACCTCTCATATGACAGTGAATGCTGGACACTTTCCTCACAGATGAAGAAGAGATTTGAAGCAAAAGAGATGTGGTTCTATAAACGGATGCTGAGAATACCATGAACAGGACAAATAGGAAGATTTTAGGGAAATGGAAACGAAAAAGGACGCTTATAGAATCGTCAATGTTTGTCTACTCACCCCCGTTAAAAATAGACTCTTCTATAAGAATTAGCTTTGACCAATCAACACCACACATTGTGAAACTCGGCTTGACGAGACGACCCTAGAATGTGTATCCATGGTCAAAAATCTGTTTCCCGCCAGGCCACTGGGAGCCTACTTTGGTTTCCCAAATCAAATAAAAGGACGAATTTCAGTCCAATTCACCAGTCAGATCTACATTACTAGAGAGATACCAGACTGACCCACGCAAGTCAAAACTCTGACCAACCAGGACTTTGCCGCGCAAAATATCTGACTCAACAATCCACAAACACACTCTATCTCTCTCAAGAACATCACTTACAATACTTTGAAAAGTGACATTTTCTTCTCACTACTTAATAAGTATTAGTAAACAAACAATCAAATTCTCACATAACTAAAGGTACGCAACTCCTGCCAATTATACAAACATACTTACGCACACACGCTAATAACTGAACTAGCACAAAGGACAATTTAGTACGTAACTGGACACTTAGTTTAATTCTGTGAACAAATCTGAATAGCAATTGCAAACACCTTCAAACATTCACAATAATATTCTACACAGCCAAATACACCTATTTTCATTTGTCCATTTAAGTTCAAATCAATTTTATTCTCAAAATTGTATATTTGTACATAAATGCATTTTGTTCTATTGAAATCTGATAATCGGTGTTCTTTACTCACTTGCTTGTTGATTGATTCGTTTTTTTATGAATGACTATCTATATTGTTGTGGATAAATATTTTGAACATGCCCGTAAACTAACCATCTAAAAATAAAAACCTTCTGATACCAAATACAAACCCATAGCAATCCCAACACGCTTATGCTTTGAATCAGAAAAAGGCCATTTAGATTTCCAGGACACATAATGAGAAAAGAAGGCTTGGAAATTTTGACACTCACAGGTCATATTGAAAGCAAGAGAGACATGGGGGAAACAGTGAGTCACCTAACTAACAGACTTGTGTAAATAAGTGTCAAAAGAGGAAATGGAGAAAGAGTAAAAGACAAACATTGTGAAGAGAAACAGAGAATAGCGAAATTGTGGAGACCCATGATTACTTGAATTCTGAACTGAGACGACTTGAAGAAGAAGATTTCTGCACATAAATAAAATACATCCAATGCTATGGGGTACTTATTTTCAATCTGTTATTTTTACAGCTGTGAACACCAGCCAAATGTAACATCAAAACAGATATTTCCAATTCAGAGGAGAATGGTAAAGGTGTAAGAACATACATACCAAAGAACATTTTTGTAAACACCCTGTAGCTTCAGACCCCAATGCACCAAACACTTGATTGTGTTCCTGTTTTGTGTATGAGTATGTGTTTTGCAAATGTGCACCTGTCATTCTACATGCATACAGCTGCACCTTACACAAGCCCACCTGTGCATGTACAACTCAGAATACATTAACATGCATACACAAAACTGCATCAGGTGCATTTTGATTAGGGCCTGGTTCATTTGCCGCACAACAATTAAAACCTTCCCCCATGAGGAATGACATCCCACAACACCTGACGTTCATTGCCAGGCAGATACTGCCACCTTTGTTCGATCTCTTCTTTGCCCACTTCTTCTCGTTATGTTGATGCTTTGAAATTATGGAATTTCCTAATTAATAAGGGATAATTAATGAGTCCCACTTGCGACTTGTTAATTCATTCAAGAAAATTTCTCCAAGTGGGAGAAGAGAATCAGGTGGCATTTTTATGTTGTTTTTTTTTATAAAAAACTAAACAGCTTTCATACACTTGTGTATATGTGTATGTGTGTGTGCGTGTGTGTTAGTGGTGAGGGTGGAGACAGTGGTGTAGGACAGTATTGGTTGGTGGGGGCACAGGGTTATGTGGGGATGTTTCCTCTATTGAGAAATAAGTTTTCTTTCCTTTTTGTATGAAATGCAAACAACCAAAAGTTGCTCAGTCAAATCGAAATCTGTAATCAGAACATTAGTAAATGAATATATGTGATCAATATACTCTTTGTTATGGAGTATGGGGGATATATTTCAATATTTTTCTGTATGTTAATTTTACAAATACTCATAGGTATTGCAGATTTTACTAGTATTAAATATGGGTATTAGTGAATGGATCCAGAACCTTCATTTAAGGAATATTGGTCCAGAAACATTCATCTGACGAACACTGGTCTAAGGAACACCCATCTAAAAAATATACGTCTTAGAAATATTTATCTAAAGAATTATGGTCTTGTAGAGTCAGTCTACCTGGATTTTAGGTGGAAAAATAAAATCTGTGTGTTGTGTCCACAAATTACAACACAAAATAGTAAACAACGTGAGGAAATTAACTTGGAGAAAACCAAGTTAAATATGACAATAACATTTATACAGTAGATACATGTTTTTACATATTAGAATTCAATTGTGTTTGTTGTGGTCATGAAGAGACCAATAGATTTAATGTTCAAAATGACTTGTTGCAAGTGAGTCTGCTAAGTTCAAAATGATATGTATGGCAATATGTGTGTGTGTGTGGAGCACACACAAATGAAACGTGTGTGTGACTGCTGACTGATTGCATAGGATAGCAGTAATTTTAAAACACAGTGAGCAGAGAAAGGATATAAGACTTATTTTCAGTGTGGCGTTATATGTAATAAAATCATCGCTGACATACATATTGTCATAGTACAGGTGTCATGTTGTGTTAATTGAGGGTGGTCTGGTTTTCTGACTGTCATTCACCAACTGTGTCATTGTAGATCTGGTTGCTGACTGTTGTTTCAAATCAAGCTGCTGGTCTGTTACTGACGAGCTGTTTTATGGCTTATGGTGAGCGGGTGGTCAGCTCACGAATCTTGAGTTTCGCACAGGGATGTACTCAGTAACGTAAGCCCTGATCTATTTTCAAGTCATTTTGGAGTTCAACCGCATGGACATCTTAGCGAGTGAATCATGTGACTTGTTATATACAGTCAGGTTCCAAAAACAAATTATTCAATTTTGGAGCAGTGTTTGTACAGAATTGTGAAAAAGTGTTTTGTATCTACTGAATTTAGTAAGATTTATTTGTAGGCATCTCTTACTTGTTTGTGCTTTACTTATTTGCCGTAAAATATAGTTTATATTGTATAGTCTAACATGGGTTGTATTAATATACAAACAATGCATGCCAATAAATGCTTATAAACCATATGAATCATCATTAAGTTGCTATATATATATGCTGCTAGTATATATATATATATATATATATATATATATATATATATATATATATATATATAGCAGCATAGCGCGGCGTTGCCCGTGCTTGATTCAAAAATCGTAAGACTCATACAGCAATCGCTATGACTTGATTTAAAATATTTTTGCCCTTCCTTGCCTTTAAAGGAGGGCCCTTTGCCGTGCTGATGTTGCTACATGCCTTACTTCTTGTCACAAGTGGGAAAAATTTAAATCTGCATGGCACTTTACTCCAATTGACTCATTCGCTTGCTTAAACTCAACGTTGATTTTGATTCCACAGAACTGGGTTGGGTGTGAAAAAGTATTTTTTTGTTAACATTCTTTTTTCATTCGGTTTTTCCAGTTACGAATCCTTTTTTGAAGCTGATCATTTTGTGTTCATTTTGTTTAGTTCTTTTTTCGTAACAGATTTAATGTTTAGTATAGAGCTTAGAAAAATTTGCAGTGTGAGATAGGCAAGAAGTAAGGCATGTAGCAACATCAGCACGGCAAGGGGCACTCCTTTAAACACAAGGAAGGGCAAAAATATTTTAAGTCTACTGATAGCGATTGCTGTATGAGTCGTACAATTTTTGAATCAAGCACAGGCAACGCCGGGCCATGCTGCTAGTCTTCAATAAGTTAAATCTTCTTGATTCCTCCCTTTTTTATTGTTCCTCTTTGTTTTTGTTTTCTTTTTCTTATTCTTTCACACTCAGTAACATCTTGCGTCTTAATGGTTTTATTGCTTTGCTTAAAAATTAAATAAAAAAGAAATATAGTAAAAAGGCAAATTTTACTAAGGGCTACAAGGAAAAGGAAGTTGTGGAAAGCCATGACTGCCTATGCCCTAAAGGTATATGGCACATAGAAAAGCACATGGAGTACTTAATCTATAATAATATGGAAAAAAAAATTGAAAAATGATTATTTCTGGACATAGAGTCTATTGTGCAACTCAACCCACAAATAAAATATCCAACATAGAAAAAAGTCAGCCTTGAGGCAGAGAAAGCCTTGTTCACAACTAGATCTCTCTTTGCCAATAACAAATGCTTTAGAACTTGATACATTTATGGGCATAAGTACATAAATAAAGGCTTTCTTTATTCTCTGTCTTTCACGGGATTTGCAACTGGCCTGACTGGAATAAAAACCACAAAACATGCATTGAAAATAATCCAAGGACATCACAATAATTGAAGAACACAAGAAGAAAGAGTCCTTTTTCTTCCTTTTCAGACACAGAACATTATTTAGCTCCTGATAAAATGTATCAGATTTGGGGGTCTGCATTGAGAAATATGCACTCAGTCTCTTTTTATATTGTTGTCTCATAGCTGCGAATTGTTCCATCATTATATACAGAAGGGGGCAGTTAAGGGTTGGATGCCTGCGGAATAGGGTGGAGTATGTTACGATAGTGGGTGGGGTTTTCTTTTTCTCTAGAAACTTCTGTTTGTAACCTGTTTGAATGTCTTCATTGTGTTGCTTATTGTCGCTGTTCTCATCACCAATTCAGGTTTCGTATCCCTTCTCTTGTGGCCACACTTTTTGGAAACATTTTCACCGTTGTTCAAAGATCTGAGTCTAAGACAGTGACAACGTCCTGCAGGAATGTAATCATGGCTATTCAAAATGGATTCTATGCTGCCATTGTATCATATCCATTCTACCTACAATTGTTTTATTCACATTGTTACTATTATTCTCCAAGTTGTTTCTTATTTTTATTTGTACTTATTGAGTACTACACCTGTAGTTTCTGTTGGTTTTCATTCGAGATCAAATGACAGCAAGTCTCTTCATTAATTTAAGATGTTCCTCAGTATTGTCACTAATTTTAGTAATGCTGTTGTCTCGAAGGTTTTAATTTTGAACCAGAACTACATTTTTTTTTTTTTAAATATTTTTGATTTTTTTATCTTTTATTTCATTTTCCTTTTGGAATTTCTACTGTTATTTCTTGGAGTCATTTTTTTTATTTTTGCATGCACAGAGCTGTACCATGCATTTTTGTGGGCCATGTAGGGACCCTGGGTTGTAAAATGGACTCAAGTACTGAACAACACACCAGTAGGTCATATGTAATAAACACTACCTATGATATCCTTGCTTCATCTATGAAACAAGGTTAAAATATGAAGTCCCTTGTACTAAAATTAAGATATGGTGTTGGGACCCTGGGACAACAAGGGAAATGAGGCTTGGCAGCCAATATATTAAAGGATTTGTTAATGATCAAATGCCATGCACATTTGAAATCCATACTGATGTTATCAATAACACATTAAGATCAACAAAAATATACATGCCTATTTAAATAAACAGGGTGTGGCAAAAGTCATGCCATTTTGTATTTATTAATTTTTACTGAACAAAAATAAATTGCATTAGTTTAAGGTGGCTTAGGAATAACTATGCCATATACATTCAGGAATGGTAAAATTCTCTTATTTCAAGCTGAGTTGGATAGGATGATGTAGAGTACTTGAGTGATTATCATCATCATATCACCAGACCTAACACCCTCAGAATTTTTCTTGTGGAATCAACTAAAATTTCTTGTTTACAGGCTCTAACCAAAAACAATTCCTGTATTAAAACAAATCTTCTTCAGATAAATTATCTGAAATTAATGTAGAAATATGTCAAATGGTTTGTAGAAGTGTTACTCATAGGGTTTAGCATTGTATTGGACATGAAGGGGAACATTTTGCACATGTTAAATAGTCCGTTAATCATAACAAATCATATTGTTTTGATGTCACAATACTTAAAAATTTTCTTAAACTAGTTTAATTTATCTTTGTTCAATAAAAGTTAATAAATGAAAAAAGGAATTACTTTTGTCATACCATGTATTTACACATAACTTGTGTAAGGTCTAACCATTTTACAGTTGAAATAATGGCTAGCTGTAACTGTAAGTTCTATGCTAACAGTATCTTCTCTCATAACTTTTTGAATATGGAATTTTCTTCTAGCTTCTTGCTTCCTACTCAACTTTGATCTTCAAAAATCTAAATAACATGTCAATTGTTATCTTCTGTCTTCATAATTCTTGTTCTCTCACCTGAATAATGTTTTTTCTCATCTTCTCTAACACTCATTAACACCTTGCATCTTAGTGGCTTTATTGCTTTGCTTGGTGTGAAATGATTTCTTCTTTTATATAAGAAGTAAATTTACACAAGTGAAGTGAAAATTTTTGAATGTTGCTTCATTTTTACTGATTGTGTTTATGTATGTTTATGCAACAGTTTTTTTAATACCAGAATTAATTGAAGACAGTTCCATAAATATATACAAAACACAATCCGTAGAAATGAATGTAGCATTATTCAAAAGTACTTTGGGAAAAAAAGTTAAAAAAAAATGAACTTTGGTAAATTTATCAGTTATATAAACCAACTAATTCAGAAATTTTGATAAAATTAATAACAAAGTGGATTGACAGAACTTGTCACTATGTCTGTCTTTTGTTCAAATATATCTGCTCTGAATTTTACATTGAGCTCTCTGGATATCATCCTCCTCAGGTCTACCCATACGGATTACCTAAATTTAAATAAAACTAACTATATATATATATATATATATATATATATATATATATATATATATATATATTTCATTAAAAAACAACAGACAATGTACTACGATTACATTTTTTTAAAAATTTTTCTTGTGTTCAAACAAGTGTTTTTTTTTTTGGACACAGAGTGTGTAGAAACTACCGAAATGTCCCATAATTGTGAGTGCTTTCAGCTATACTTTTAGCCATTATCAAGGATGATTTTATTTGTTGGGAAAGTAACTGAAGCCAAGATGCCAGGACAAGATCAATAACATTGCAGATATGAGGTTGGGTCATAAATATTTTCCATTTTGGCTTATTTTTATTTTTCATTTTTTCATTCTTCCTTATTTCTTTCATTCTTCCTTTTTTTTCTTTTCCCCATTTTATCTTGCCTCCCTTCTTTATCTTTCTTAACTTCATTTCATTTTCTATTTCTTTTTGTTCATTTTCATTATTCTTCTTGATTTGTATTTCCTCATATTTTTCTTCACAATTTCATTCTCTCTCACTTTCCAATCTTTTTTTCTCTTCAAATTTTTTTTTTATTTTCCTCTTTTCAGATTTTTTTCCTTATATTTTTTATTCCTACTTCTTGTATTTTTTCTATTTCTCTTCTATTTTTATTCTTCATGCATTCATTCCGTTTGTCATTCATACAAGTTTATTTTTCTTTCATTATATTTTATATCCCTTCCTTTTTATAATGTTTTCAATTTTTCCTTTATTTCTTTTTTTCATCCTTTCTTTCTATTCTATCTTTCTTCTTTTTACTTCATTTTTCAGTCTGCCTAAATTTTTCCTTTCTTTTCTTTTTTCTTCAACATTTTTCTTTCGTTTTTATTTTCATTCCAAATATTTTTCTTTTTTATTTTTCTTTCATTTGTTCAATATTTTTCACTCATTTTTTTGTTTTTAACACTTCATTTTTCTGTATTTTCATTCAAACGTTTTTCTTTTTTTCTCTTTCTATCTATTTTTATTTTAAAAATTCTTCTCTTTTTTCTTTATATTCATTCGAAATATTTTTATTTTTATTTTTCCTTCATTTTTTAATATCTTTAAGAAAAATATTTCCTTTCCTTTTTTCTTTATTTTCATTCCAAATATTTTTATTTTTATTTTTCCTTCATTTTTTTAATATTTTTAAGAAAAATATTTCCTTTCCTTTTTTCTTTATTTTCATTCAAATATTTTTATTTTTCCTTCATTTTTTCAATATTTTTCTTCCATTTTTTGTTTTAAACATTCTTTTCTTTTACTCTCTTACATTTTCCATACTTACTAAAAAATCTCTTATTACATCTCTCTTTATAGATTCTAAATTTTTAATTCCTTTATTTTTGTTTTCCTTTTTTTCTTTCATGCTTTACTCTGTCATTCTTTTTAAAATTCATATTTCTTTCTTTCACTCTTTCCATTCTTTTTCATTCTTCTTTGCTTTCTTTTTTTCTGCAAAGCATTTTTACTTTCCCTCTTTTTTCTTTACTTTTCTACTGAATCCTTTTTCTTTCTTTTCTCTTCATCTCATTAATGATGTTTCATAACAGCAACTGAAAAGATGAATATTTTCTTGAATTCCCGGAAGAAATGCAAAAAGAAAAACCCTAAAAAAAACAATGTCTCCCCAACACAGAAAATTAACAAATGCCACAGATTTTAATTCTAGATTAAATCCAGAAATTAAAAAAAAACTGAACCCTCAGGAAGAGTGATGAATTCATTGAAACCTTCTCCCGATCTTTGTGCAGCACCAATTCCTATCTCTGCCGATATGAGGTGACCATTCTCTTCGGGCAATCAGTGGCACGTATCAGCACTTTACTCTTTGAAACTGGCTACTGATAAAGATCCAGGAAGTAGACTTTAATGTCTCATAGTGTGCCATCTTTCTCTCTTGTAAGATGTTGTTAAGGCATGTGAAACATATCCTTTCGACCTTATCAGGTGGGGAAAATCATGCAACAAGCAAAAAAGTCAAGTCAGATACTTTTTTTCTTTCCTTTTCTCGAAATCTCATACCACTTCTCTTCTTGGATGCAAGAGATAATATAATTTACAAGCCTAACTAATTTACAATGGTTAATTAGATCTAATTGACCCATCATACACTAAAGGTGACAGTGACAGTAGGAAAACAAAGAGAGTCATCTTCTCATCAATCTTGATCTGAGATCATTTATCAAGTTAGACCCAAGGGAGATAAATTTGGGGTAAAGTAGTTTAAATTTTTATTTCCTAAATTATTATTGTGAAACTTAATTATACTGCTTACTTTGCAATTAGAAATGTTTCCTAAGTTCCCTGGGGAAGACCACAGGGTGCTCTTCTAAGTAATCTAATGCCAAACATACAGGAAATCACTAAAATCAATTTATAAAATTTAAATGCATTAAAATGAATTAATAAAAATTTGAAATGATTTGACAGCTACTAAAAAAATTTCACTGTATTAGATTCTATTAAAACAGTTATTAAATTTCAAATTTATAAAATTATAAAATTATCTTGTTAAAACACAAGGAGAAAATTTGATAGTGGTGCTTGTCACAAAATTCCCATCATCAAAATAACAGACATTTATATCCAAATTTCTTTTGTTTATTCCAAGCCTTTCAAGTTGAATGTGGCTGCAATTTGAGGCTTGGAATAAAAGCTACTGCTATTCAAACAGTACAAAAACTAGATCATAAATAGGCAAACATGAAAAGAAATTAAGAACACTTAAAAACAAACCCCTTTGAAAATGGCTGAAGAAGTGTCCAATAGCACTTGGGGCAATTTTTGCACTTCCTTACTCCCACCAAACGGAAAAATGTAAGAATGTTGGAAAAACTAAAAAAAAAAAAAAATTAATCAAATTTTCCTTGTCTGTCATATTTAACAAAACATGTTTGTAAGAATGGTTGGTGCCCAAATATACACAATATATATATATATATATATATATATATATATATATATATATATATAAATGCCCACATATACACTATATATATTATATATATATGCCCAAATATACACTATATATATATATATATATATATATATATATGCCCAAGTATACATTATATATATATATACATATATATATATATATATATATATATATATATATATATATATATATATATATATATATATATATATATATATATATACAGGCATGACAGAATTGAATAGACACCAAGATAAATTTTATTTCTGATTTTTTTTAATAACCAAGATTAATTAAATTAATTTTTTTCAATAACCAAGATAAATTAACTTAGATTATTTGATTAAAATTGCAGATAACAATACTGGAACATGCCCCGAACCAAAGGAGCATCAGACCGATCCGAATTTCAGCGAGACGTATCGTGGGCCAACATGAAGGTGGTCTTAGTCAAAGAAAAATATCTGAAATTTTTTCAATACTCCTTTCTACTGTTAATAGAGTGATCGTACAATTCACCAGAGAGGGCAAGAAGTGCACAAAACCTCATTCAGGCTGCCATGGTCCCTCTGAAAGAATCATGCGTCTTGTCAAAAGAAATGTTGAACAGGATCCACATTGCAAGGCCCCTGACATAGCAACACAAGATGATGTCAGTCCCAGAACAGCTGTCAGGTAATTCAGAGCTGGGAGAAGGAAACCACTCCTCCGTCCAGCCAATATCAAATGCAGAAAGGATTGGGCTCATGAGATGGTGGAGAGACCTGTGACCTTTTGGACCACTGTCATTTTCCCTGATGAATCAAGATTCGCATTATTTTCCAAGTGGAAGAGTATGGGTATGGAGACTCTGTAGTCAACAGTTTGATTTAAAAAGACTGCAGCCAACAGTGAAACATGGGGGCCTTTCAGTAATGGTATGGGGTGCAATTTGGAGTGATGGTCGCTCAGAGCTTGTGGAGTGTGAAGGAAACATTAATTTAACCAAATATGTTTCTATATTAAAGAAAGGGCTACTTCCAATATTCTCAAGTAGTAGAATGAGCAAAATTGACTCCCTATTTATAGAAGATGCACCTCCATGTCACACTGCTCAAGCAACGCAACATTGGTTGAGACAAAAAGGGATCAATAAACTTCCATGGCCAAGTCAGTCCCTGAATATTAACCCTATTGAACACCTTTGGGGCATATTAGATTGAAAACTCCACAAAAAAAACAGGAAGCCATCTTCTAAGCCCGAACTTTTAGGATTATTGCGTCAAACATGGCAATAAATCCCTCAAGATGATATTCATGAACTTATCGCTAGCATGCCTGGAAGGGTCCTTACATTAAAAAAAAACAAAAGGGATGTCAACCAAGTATTAGTTATTAAATTTATGACCATTTATAATTACTTCATTTGTATAAATTATTGTTTAATAAAATTGGTTTCTGTGAGTGTCTATTCAATTGTCCATTTATATATATATGCCCAAATATACTATATAGATATATATATATATATATATATATATATTGTATATTTTTTATATATATATATATATATATATATATATATATATATATATATATATAGAAATTTTTTCCCTGACGATCCATTTAGGTGAAACCTAATTTTCTGGCTCACTAGGTGTATTACATATATATATATATATATATATATAGTATATTCCAAATATATCTATATATATATATATATATATATATATATATATATATATATATATATGTTGTGGCCTTTCTAGGGCCTGAAATAAAGACACAAGAGAGGAACTGAGTTAAATGTAAATATATTTTTACAAACATATACAAACAAGAGTGTTATTTAAGAATTTTTCTGACTATGACTGCAAACTTCCCTCAAAAAGGCAGTACCTGCTCATTTATAGTTGGGAGAGTCCATGTGTGTGTGTTTAAATTACCATAACAGTATATGTAAAATTAATTAAATTAAAAAACAGACAAAATTATATATGAATTGTGCATAAAGTACTGGTGTTATGAACTAAGTAGTGCAAACAGTGTGGGATATGTATATTCATTAATATTTCCTTTCCACCTTATAGGCCACTAAATCAGAGTATTTTTTCCCAAAGTAAATCATAATGATAGTGAACATACTGTTAAAAATAACATCAATATTTTCAACAAAAACCACGTCAGCTACAAACAAGATGAATCTTCACTTAGAAATAGCATAAAGAAAGAAATACACTACCTCAATTGACCTGAACAAAAAAATCAAATTAATTATCTACTAGAACAATTATCACTAAAATATTTATAGAAAAGGCAAAGGGGTACTACATTATGGCAATGAGAAAGTTTTGAGATTTAGGATCAATAACATTGCATGTAATTCTTTGGATTTCATCAAGAATCTCTAAATACATAGCAGCAGCACCAATATCAAAGCATTGGTGAATGGTGGCCTGATAAATATGTAAGATAGATTCTGGGCAGAAAAATTGTTCACTTACTATCCTACCCAGTCCCTGTACTGTCATCACTTTATATATGAATGTTTGCTGGTTCACTTGCCATTTTCCTCTACCCATCCTGCTTTCAATATATCTCATATGTGTCACAAAAGTTTTAACTGCCACTTTACAATTCTAAGCACAAATGTCCTTTTTTTTCCTCCATTTAGTGTTAATTTTCCTTACAACTTCTTCATTGATCACATGTTCCATCCATAGTATTTTCAGTATCTATCTGTAGAACCATACCTCTGTTGCGTCAAGTTTCCTTATTTCTAATAAATCAAAATACTATCATGTATAAGCCTGCAGCACAATGTAAAAAGTATTTTTTTTCCAAGAGATGTATTTATTTTTTAATATGGTCAATGCACATAATTCATTGGTGTATGTTTATCACATAAATTGAAATTAAACAGTGAAAATCTTATGTATATATCATCTAATAACTATGTGTCAAGCTATGAAATTGTTTGTATGGTCAATATTATTGGTCCTGATCCAGTAGCTCAGCTCCTGTCACTTTTCCATCGCTGTAAGGCTGCCTCACTGTACCTTTTGTATAAATCCTTTCATGGTAATTGTTCAGATGAGCTCTTTGCTATGGTACCTAGAGATTTTGAATTTAAGTGCAACGTAATACTGGTGTCGAGATCTCATCAATATACAGATGAGCTGGCTAGATGTAGCTGCAAATTCTATGCTAACAGTTTCTTTTCTCACACTTCTCACTTGTGGAACTCCATTCCAGCTCCATGCTTTTCAGCTGACTTTAATCTGCAAAAATTTAAATTGCAATGTCAATCATTATCTACTGTCTTTCTGATTACACTCTTCTCTTTGTGCTCATTATTAATGTTTCTGTTCCTAATTGTTCCACACCCAGTAACCCCTTGTGTCTTAGTGGCTTTACTGCCTTACAAGGGGTGACACTGATTACTCTTTTTCTATTTCTGCTCATTATTAATGTTTCTGTTCCTAATTCTTCCACACCTTGTAACCCCCTTGTGTCTTAGTGGCTTTACTGCCTTACAAGGGGTGACACTGATTACTCTTTTTTCTATTTCTGCTCATTATTAATGTTTCTGTTCCTAATTCTTCCACACCTTGTAACCCCTTGTGT